AATCTAGGCTCTTACTTGTAGTAAAGTATCTATAAATGAACCCTGAGCTAACGCTTAAAGATTTGTAGAAATAATATAAGTGCTGGACATTATTGTATTTTTCAATTGTGACTATTTTATTTAATGGCACAATCATTAGCTGCAAAAAAAAAAAAAACTCTTAGACTTTGAAAAACAGTGTATTGCTCTTCTAACATTGCTGTGCAGTAACAACACAAATATAGGGCTTTTCGAAAAGCAGTATTCTCTTTACACGGCTGCAGTAAAAACATTTGTTGGCAAATAAACTTTTCTTAATCAGTTCAAATATAAATCTAAATTATTATTCGCCACAGTTGAGACATTTACATTTTATCTCCAGTTTATAGAAAAATAAAAATGATCCACAGAACCAGCAACCAAACGTGCTAAAACTCAACGGGTCAAACTCACTCAATCACAATCAAGAGGCCGACATTTCAAACCCAGTCTTAGTTGTGGGATGAACAGGATTGACATTTATAGTTCAACAGTGTAGTTCTGGAACAACAAACGATTGGGAACCAGTGATTTAACAAACGTGTCTCCAGTACACATTAGTACAGACCTTAAAGCAGCCATGCACACGTGACGCTCTGGTGGGCCACATAATATGACCTGATTGGCCTGAATTTGGCCCGCAGACTTCGAGTTTGACACATGCTATAGACTATTGTCTAAAGTTCCCCAAAAACACCAACGTTAACACCTTTAATTTTCATTAAAAAAAAAAAATAATAATAATGTAACACAAGCAACACTACCCTGTTGTTTAGTCAGTTATTGTAAACCCATAGTGTCTTCTGGTCTATAATGGACATCATCACAAGAAGGCAAAACCGATGCTTCCCAAAACTGTTAGCTGCTCCATCATTTTTCTATCAAACACAATGAGACACGCTAACGTTGGCAGTCTCTCTCCGCTTCCTTTATTGTTTCTTTTCTTTCTGGGACAATGCAGGGCCACATTCTCGGATGAAAGTATTTTCTAAATGTCGTAGCTAACAGCAGTGGAGACGGTGGCCGAACGCCGAAGCCAAGGAGGCATTCGCTGCTGCCAGGGTTTTAGGACCAGCAGGATTTAATAAAAGTGGGATAGGTCCATGTAAAAAGGCTGGCAGAGAGGACACACACCATTAGCTTAATGACAGAATGAGAAATGAGGAAAAGGGACCGCAGACTTGAAAGCCACGCATTTCAAAATGTGCCTTTATAAGAAATCAAGGCCGGTAATCTAATAAATGGCACTGAACAAAACCTATTTTGCCACAGGTAAAAGGAAAAGGAAGGGCTAACAGTAGGAAAAAGGGAAGACGTTGTCATGAAGTTACCCATCCGTGACCATCGGGGGCATTAATGCCATCCCTCTGTTTTCTTCAGAGCAGTTTTATTTTCTTTGAAATACTCCTTTGTGAGCAGACCTGACTCGTGGCTCCAGCTACTTTTATGCAGCCTGTACTGGTAATTAGGAGTCTCACTATTTCTGGTGTCACTTCAAAGCTAAAGTAGTGTTGTTACCAAAGCACATAGCACGCACATGCAGTACAAAGCCAATCTTTGGAGTACTGAAGCCACACACTGTGTTTCTGGAGGTCACCATTTCAATTATCAGCCCAGCGCGTTTAAAGCAGCTCAGAGGAAAGTGTGTTCAAACACAGAGCTGTCCCTCGATTACACCGACAGCAAAACAAAGGGCTGCAGCCCAAGAGGCAGTCGAAAAGTTCTAAGATAAATCACTGGAGAGTGGGTGATTTGTGATTTCATTTGAACTGATGCACTATTTGTGTAAAAAAGCTCTGCTCAATTTCTGGTGGGTGCATCAACTGTGCATAAAGCTTAATGTTACTTTACTTTTAAAATATTAGTTTCAGTTTTGTTTATAGACTTCTTGTTTTACTTAAAAAGCATTTCATCTTTTTGGGTAGAAATATTCTCCTGTTAATGGGAAGGAAATAAAACTGACTGTTTGGTGTCCACACTGTGGTTTGGGTTTAGCTCACACCTACACACTGCACGTCATCCAATTACCCACAACGCTGCTCCATCTAAACAACACAGCTTCAGTTGCATATCTAATGAAACCCAGTCTAAAAAAGAGCAGTCCTTGTTCCCTAATCATCTGTCTCTGAACTGTTTAACTTTCCTCTTACATATGCAGATTACCTGTGGCTCCGTACGTGATGAGTCAGAGCGGAGGGCTCTGACAGACTCAAAAGAATACGCACTAAATTAAGACAACTGCATCAGCTGCATCAGACAAAATTTTCAAAAGCTGTCATTTCAATGACCCTTCAAGGCCTAAGGCAGCCACATCTCATCTGGATCAAAGCAGCGGAGCTGGCCTCAAAATAGATCCACTGCCCAAACCCACATAAATACCACTTGAGTAAAACCTTGTTTCACTTTGTCCTATCACGGCACCGAGATGGGCTATTGCTCACCGGGGTCTGAGTCATCCACATGGGGCGGTGGATGACAAAAGAAATTCTAATGTCCAATAAATAATCATGGTAGCCTACGGGACCCAAAATGTTTTCTGACAAATGTGAAATGTATTTTGGAGAGACAAAGCCTGGGAGAGTCAGCAGATGAATGAACGTGTATTTAATACCACAGCCGTCCTCTCTGTGGCTTCACAGCATTAGAGACACTTTTCAGGTGTTAACCCAAGTGAACTTGGAATGAGCCGCGTCACTGTCGAGTTTTGTTTAGAGCAGGAGATCTCAAACTGATGGATGTCTGAAGCAGAGGCCAAAAACAAAATATAGGTTTCTGAAGCAGAGGCCAAAAACAAAATATATGAATTGTTTTTTTGTTATTTTTAAAGAAGCCCTGGGGACATGTACTGTATCAATATATGTTGTTGTTTCACTAACATATATGGGAATGATGAAGTTTTCCTTCCTACATAAATATAAAATATTAAGATATTTCTATATATGTCAATCACTCCCATTGTTACGTATTCTTTCAAAATGTAATTTTTAATCTGAAAATCAATTCTGTCATTTTGCATCCAATGTGCTGCTGTTGAAATTATAAACATCACATCTTTTCAACAGATACTAATGCAAATGCTACTGCTAATGTCTAAAAGGAATGATGATTCTGCAGATGATTCAACAGTAGATGTGACATTTCAAATATAAAGGCTGTTTTCAAATCACAAATTATATGACCGTTTGCAAAAATGTTGTGGACTCATCGAGGGTTGCAAACCCCCTGTTGAAGACCTCAAAAAAGGGGTTGCAAACCCCCTGTTGAAGACCTCTGGCGTTTTCTCAAAAAGTCTGACCTGGAACAACGTACGCACAATATTTCTATGACGTTTTTCAACCATGAAAGCTCTCAATCTTAACAGCAGCTTCATCCTGTGGTGTCATGCAGCTCTCTCAGCTCAACGCTGACTATTCTCAGTGTAAATAAATAGGGGGAAAAAAAGGACCATCATTTGACAAACCCTCATCTCTTTTTATTGCATCAGTAAACCATTTCCTGAGCACAACCGTTCCTCAGTAACATAAAACGTCCGTGCTTTCCTTGAATTTGAATTTTGACACAGACCTGAGAACTGGTGTGCTCGTGACGGAGATGCTAAGACGTGGCAGCAGGGGACAAGAAAAGGGGCCACGGCTCTCGGAGGAGCCTCTACCTCTCACCAAAGTCTCAGCGTTTGCACCTGAATTTAATTAGACTCTTCTAACCAACCTTTTTGTATGCTTTCTTCATCTTTAACATGCGTGAAATTGCATGGGACTATCCATTATTTATTTTCTCACATTTGCTGTTGTTTTTCCGTCCGGGCTCCTGCAGCTCTGCTTCGTGTGATACTACGCTCTGCCTCAACTCCCTCACTGCTCAGACCCACCTCCTCTGCAGGTCTGAGGCTAACTCATTTGCTGGTGTTGGTTAGGGAGCTATGGATTTTTTTTTCCTCCCCTTTCACCCAATGACAGCGCGGTGAGATGCTATGAGGTCTGGGTGCTAATGAGCTGACTCTGCAATGCTGGGGGAGATGCTCAGGAACGCAGGGGGGAGACAGAGGATGGAGGAGGCAGAGGAGCTCTGGCACATGAAGTCAGAGGGGCCATTATGACCACGCCACACAAGGGGTTCGACAGACTGGACTAGTCACACACACACACACACATACACACAGTTGTAATGTGGCTCCAGAGTCAGCCGCTCGGCCCAACTGTGCCCATCATTTACCCTGACATCCCAGAAGGGCAATATCAACTCTACTGCATCCAGTGTGTTTCTGCTGATTTGAAGAAACAGCTGCCAAAGAAACGGCTGCACGGTGGAAGGATGTTAGATCGGCTACAAATCAAAACGCTATTCATGCACCAGTTGCACCGTGAGATGTCAATATATATCCACCAAATAGGGCTCATCACAAATGGGGGATGGAGAAGAAGAGGGGGGTCTGGAGGTAGAGGTGTTGGGGGGGGCTTCTATATCACACCAATTTACAACCTTCTCTCCAGAAGTGTGAGTCAGAGTCAAGGGAAAATAAAAGCAAACACCGGATCATGTAGTGTTGGTCCAAACACGGGTTCTTTCAGCACGGAGTCCTTGACACATGGTTTGTGTAATTGGACGTGTTGTCTCTTCAAGGCCAATGTGTTCAGGCTACAGCAGCGTTTTTCAAAGCCACTCTTTTTATCACTGTTTGTATCCGTGCAGTTGGAGAAAAAAAATATATACATTCTGAAGTGGACTTATATACAGTATATTTATATGCAATAAAATAAAACCAAAACGATTCAAGATTTTTTTTTTATCCAGTCTTTGTATATTTCCCACTGGGACTTGATGAGCCAGAGTGAAGTGAGGTGAACTTGACTGCCTCCCTCCCTCACACTGATCTGAACTGTCTGTATAATAAGCACCATATGGGTTCGACATAAATAATTCTGCCCAGGACCCACGGGGTGGTGCTGAGGATCTGGACAGGACTGAAATAAAAGGACACTTACACGCGTGGGTGACGGAGAAGCTGTTGGACGACTCCAGGTTGTCGACATTGTAGTTGAGGTGGAAAGGCTTCTCCGTGGTGTTTTGGTTGGTGTTGTAGAGTTGGACAGCGAACCTGAACGCGCTGTGCTCCTGCACCGTGGAGCGCATGAAGAGTCCCCCTAAAAACAGACAGAAATATGAAAATAAAAACCAGACAGTGCTTTCACACTCACTTTAATGGGTTTTTGTTTTATTAATCAAGTCTCGTGGGGTTATTTTTCTTTCTTTTTAATGGAACCACACACGTCCCAGACATGGGCTAAAGCGACACAGTGGCACCATTATGCGTCTTGACCATTGCGCCTGTCACTAACCCTGCAGCCTTAGCTGGTCATCTCCTGCCTTCCTCATGCAAACACACTCCACTCATCCTCTCTCTCTCTCACACACACACACAGATGCAGCTCTAATCTACTTCCAGCCCCAATCACTGCGCAAAGCTCTGCGCTCCGTGCACATCTTCCCGGCGTGAAACTGCAGCGTTCCAACCTTCATCACACAAGCCGATACACTCACCGATATTTATCTGATTGGGGAATCCTGCAGATGATGTGTCACACAGCCACAGCAGAAACAGAAGCAGGCGTTGTGCCATTTTTCTTTCTTCTTTTTTCTTCTTCTCCGACCTATCTGTTCAACTCCTGAAAAGCGTCTATGTGAGCAGATTCATATGTTCTGGAGGAGAGCCGGGCGCGGAGGAAATCCAGTGTCTGGATGATGGTCGCTCACAGCGCACCAATTAGGTTCATTGAAGGTGTAGCCCAGCTGCAGAGCTTTTTGCAACTAACGGAGAAGAGAGATGGAGAGGAAGAGAGAGAGAGAGGGAGAGAGAGGAGAGAGAGCAGGGGCAGGAGGGGGGGCTGGCGGTGGGGGATAGGAGAGCCGGGGAACGTGGTGCTGATCTCCACGCCGATTGGCCCGATCGCGCTCCGGGCCAGTGCGTTGGTCAAACTTAATCTGACGTTGAATTTAAAAGCCTCAGCCCGCCCGATTACGACAGCTTGGCACAAGTGCGGCACTTGTCAATATTAGCCCACTGCTGGCTGAATCGATAAAGAAGCACTGCAGTCTGTGCTGGCCAGTCGCTCTGAATGGCCGGGTCTCCTCCAACCGCTGCAGCTGCTGCAGCTGCAGGAAACCAGGCTCCTGTTCCAAATCTGCAGCACCTGTGAGCTGAGTGCACGCCGGTGCCCAGGTCTACACAATCAACAACCTGTGGAAACTTCCTGTTCTCACGACTGTGAACGGAAAGGATTCCCTGCTTTGTGGCGTCATTCGTCCACACAGAGAATGCATTTGTTTTTAAAATCCAACACGCAGAAAAATCACTCCTGGACACACGT